GGAAGGAAGGAAGGAAGGAAGGAAGGAAGGAAGGAAGGAAGGAAGGAAGGAGGAAGGAAGGAGGGAAGGAAGGAGAACAAGGCAGAGAACATGGGCTGTCATCATGTCACAGCCCCAGGGGTTCAGCTAGAAGCGGGCGCAGCCTGCTGCATGTCTGCAGTGGGGGCTGAGAGGTGCCGGGCCCTCACCCCTCCGTCMCGAGGGCCTCTGCCCTGCCACTCTGGCCTGCTGCATCAGCACATTCCCGGCCCACTGCAGGGAAACTGCAGGCGCGCTGTGTCCCCACCTTCCCACGGAGAGAACACAGAAGCAACGGGAAGCAGCCTCCCAAGAAGCAGTGGGAGGCTTTTTGCCCTTTTTTTTTAATTTGAAAAAAAAAAAGAAGAAATCTTCCAAACATGCCAACTTCCAGGCATCTGTGGCAGCAGAGGCTCACGAGCCTTGTGGAGGGGTGACCACCTGGCTTCTGGCCTGTCCCCATGAGCTCAGGAACACGAGGCTAGGTCAGCACCAGCACCTTGAGACTCTAGGCAGCTCTCGAGAGCCATGTGGGAAGGGGCCCGAGCAATTCTGACAGCTCGCTGGGTGCCTCCTGCTGAGGAGGCAGCCCCCAGTGTAGATGCAGACACACAGGAATCCCAGAAAAATGTGAGCAGGGTTCATGTGCCTGAATTCAGACGCGCTGTCAGGTCTGTATCAAATTCCCAGCTGTCTACACATTTTAATCTGAAGATCATTCCTTATAACTCTTCCAAGCAACTCACTTAAGAGAAATCACACACAAATTCACCTTCATGCAAATGCTGATAAATCTCAAGATTTACAAATGTGCTCTCCTTATTCTAGGAGCCCAGTAGAGTGCCCTGAATGCCCAGGCAGTCACAGATGCTGGCCTGCCCGCAACATGCCCCTCTGGCTGGGCCAGGCATGGAGGGAAGTATGAAGACCATGGGTTTGCTGGTGCTTGAAGGGTTTGTTTGAGTGGTGAATTGTTAGTGTCTGTACTTCCTGTTTATTCTATTTATTCTAAAAATAGAGACACTGAGTTTCTTCTGCTGGTCTTGGTCCGGTGCTCTCTGGCTGAGCCAGCTTTGCAAATGTCCCTGGGGAGGGCAGGGGGTGGCAGGGGCACAGAGAATGGGTCCCTAACACCAACCCAGCACTTGGCCTTGTATGTGCTACCCACCAGCCCTAGAGCAATCTGATGATGCTTAGGAATACTTTTTGAACTAATGTTTTAAAAGCATGAAGTAAAATATGGGGGATGACACGGGAAACAACCATCAGAATATCAACAGTGTGATACAATACTGTGTGTGCTTTCTTATGAACACATTAAGTAATAACAGGTACTGTGTTTTTAAAAAACTATTACTGTAAACGACATTTAAGATACAAGATGTGAAGATACCTGATCTCTCCTGATGACAAAGTGACTTGGGCTGTGAATCCTACGGGGCTGTGCACGTTGCATCCCTACAGAGGACAGAAAGCCATGTGCACACCTGGGCAAAGCTCACATCTGGGCCTATCAGGGGTTCCGGCAACCAGGAGAGCTCCCTGGGCACGTACCAGGGGTTCTAATTAGTAGGGGAAGAGATGATTTGTAAAGATTTTGAACAAACACGATGATTAGAGAACCAAAGTTCTTATGTGGCAAGGGTGGCTAAATTTGGGAGGTGAAGGCTGGAGGCAGTTCCTGAGCTGACCCAGCTAGGGCCTGGACCAGGCTGTGCTCTGAGCCACTGTCTTGGCCAGCCTGGCTCTCTTCTACCACTTTGCTGAGATGTAGCATGGAGTTCATGTGTCCGGAAGCCTCTAGGTCCAGAACATCTTGGTCACCCCAAGAAGTGGCCTGTCCCAGTTCTCCTCTCCTTTTATCCCTGTGGACAGGCCATCCTGGATTTTTCACATACAACTGACCCTTGCCCTTCAAGGTTCTTAGTGAACATGGAGCTGTGGGTCCTGAGGAATGACAGGTTGGTACCTGCCACCTCTGGGCACAGCACTGTTACCAACTCACCAATACATCACCTTGTTTTCTGTTTAAAGACACCTGGTTTAAGATGCACCGCAGCGTCACCAACGCAGAACTCAGGCAGCACAACTGATCTTAGCTTCTCCAGGCACACGACTTCCCCTTGAGGCGCAGAGCAGCCACCTGTGCTGAGGTGCTGGATGGTTCAGTCCTGTGCCTGGGCCTCCCTCAGCAGCAGGATCGTAAGGAGAAATGYAGGAATGTGGAAAGTGTGCTGTTGAATCGGCAGAGCGAGGTCTATGGCATGAGCAAATGAGGAGCAGAGACCCCTTGTCGGTCTCAGTTGGGAATGTGCAAATCGGCCACTTGAATTTCTGATCACTTTGTGCATGTGCTCACATGACTACAAAACCACAGTGAGTATTGATTTSGGGCTACAAATAAATTTTAGCAAGCAGGCAAATTTGCAAATACAGAGGCCTGAGCAAGGATTGACAGTAGGAGCCGTCTCAAAGTAACCTACATCTGGTGCTGTTGGGGAGTTTATTCATGGTCACGTTCCATGGCATGCATACAGTCTATCTGTCCATTTACCATGATGGACACCAGGTTGTGTCCGCCCTTTGGCTGTTGTGAAATGGATGTGAGCACCATACTAGGGTCCTTGTGGGGTGGGTGTGGTCCTCATTCCACTGTTTGCTGGGCTTACACCGAGGTGGCCAGAGATGTCAGTCTGAAGTTATGCCTTTGTGTGGCTTGAGGGAGGAGATTAGTAAGTAGTGGTCTGATATTGTAAGCACGGCTGGCGGTTTATTTCAATAGGTGTTAGGAGGATGCTGACTTTTCATTTGTGACTATAATATAGATTCCCCTTAAAATCTATTAATAAGACATATCGGTGTGGAAAGTGACAGCATGACACTCTGGTGTGGATGCTGGGTACGACGGTGGACAGAAGCTGGCCTCTCAAGGCTGATGCCCAGAAGGCTGTGAACTGTGAGCCCCAACCTCGGGGCTTCAGGACCCCACCACTTCAGTCACCAGTCTCCTGAGGGACAGATGGGCAAGTCTGTCCTGACACGAGGTTGTCCTGATGCCAGGTGTCTGGCTGTCCCTGGATGTCCAAGGCCTAGCTCCTGCCCTGCCTGTCGCCTCCAGTTAGAGCCCATTGAGGAGAGTGAGAAGAAAGCTATGCACACCCCAGCAGGGACGATGGGCCAGGAGACCATCCTAGGCCCATATTGCCTCAGCTTAGTGACCCAGCAGTGGTAGCCCTGGCTCAGGCCAGCCTCTACCCAGCTTCAACCCCACCCTGCAGCCAGGGGCAACATGTGTGATGCACCATGAAGCCCGTGTCCACAGCTGTCTTCCCAGGGCTTTCACACACGTTCCCTACCCCTGGTGAGCAGGACTGCGACCTGGGGCTGCTGGGGCACAGCCAGCAACAAGCTCCATGGGCGTGGGGTCTGCTGAAGATGGACAGCACCCTGATAGCTATCAATCAGTAACCAGAGAAAAAGAGAGCAAACTAAGAGGCAAAGCAGGTGGAGAGCTGTGTGAGCTGACCAGAGCAGAYGGAGACCAGCCTTCCCGAGAAGGCAAGGGAGCGTCCAGGTTCCTGAGAGACGTGAAGGGCAGAGAGTTCCAGCAGGGGCAGTGGGGTGCAGGCACCCATCCCAGGATAGGCTGGGCAGGGGGTGGCCACCACAGAGAACAGAATAAGGGGATGCCAGAAGCTACACAGAGCCATTCAAGGAACACTGAGGGTCCTGCTCCCCAGCAGTGACCCTGGCCGCTGTCTGGAAGGCAGGCCTCTGTTGGCGCCCCAAACCATCAGAAGGGCCTGCAGGCTCAGCCAAGACTGCAGATGCAGAGGCTTTGATCTCATGGCTGTAGTCAGCCTGCTGTGAGATCAGCGGTCTCCTGCTGTCCCCCCATTGCCATGAGTGGGAATAACAAGAAGAGCTGATATTTGCAGAGCACAGACTGTAAGCTAGCACACTGCTCAGGTGTTGTGACTGTACCATAGACAACTCATTTTGCAAGCAAGAACACTAAGGTGCAGGACACAGAGAGCCTCACCTGCAGATGCAAAGCCAGTGGCCAACTCCCACACCTTAGCACTCCCCTCTCACCCCCATGCAGCTTCCTCTGGTCTCTGCTCAGGTTCCCCTCATGGAGCCCTTTCTAAGTTCTCAGAGAGACACCCACAAATAAGTCTATAACTGCAGATGCAGAGTGCTGAAGTGCCACTTTGCAAGGGTCCCAGGTCACTCTGCTCTGAGGCAGTCAGTGCTCACTGTGCACACAGAAGGTCTGTCCCAGAAGGGAGAACACCCTCTTCATGTCAACACAGGTCTACCCTGTCCCTATAAGCTAAATCAATTGCAAACATGCCATTTTTCCCAATTTCAAGTTTTGCTTGCAGTTCATTCCTTCCTCCAGCAGGTTATTTTGAAATGACAAGGTTCTCCCAGGGTTCTCGAGGAAGAAACAGTCTAAACTGCACTGTGGGATGCGAGCCGCATGTGGTCCCAGACAGCAGGCATCCGGCCTCCACCCCCTTCAAAGCTAGTCATTTATGTTCTCATCAAATGACATCGTTTCAGCGAGGCCTTCAGTGCTAAACATTAATCAAAGTTATAAGTTAAAGCTAACATTTTGCTCCAATCCTGAAAGACATGGGGAACATACACTAGTGCCCTCAAATTTCATTTTTAGGCGACTGATGAATTCCACTTCATTATTGAATTTGCTTGCTTCCAGTTAAAATACTAAAACTATCAATATTACTTTTTCCTCAGTGCTTAAAAGACAGAAATCAACACTATTCAAGGTGGAAAATACAGTCTAGCTATTGTTAAGTTGTTCTAATAAGTTAATGTTGATGAAAAAAGTTTAATTTCTTTAATCTCCTACAGGCTAGGAAATAGAATCTCATGATCCTACCATGGCAGACAAAACTAAAACCACAGGTTTTTCATAAGTGATGCTGACACATGGAGCAACTCGGCCTCCATACCTCGCTTCTGGATGAAGACCCTGAGCAGGGGGTTGGCGCTGGAGACGGCCTTGCAGAAGTTGTCATCGTTGTTGATGGGAAGCAGGTCGCCATGCACATCTGCATAGCCGATGGTCACCTCGGTGTTGGAGATGTGGTGGGTGTGCACCACCAGCTGGTAGAAATCTTCAAACTTGCCAGGCTTGTGGCGGTTCAAGGAGAATCTTCGGAATTCAGCCCCAAACTACAATGCAAGAGATGGGGGTGAACCAGAGGAAGGACAGTGTGTTCATGAGCAAGAGGCTCCTGAGCCTCTGCCAGCCCCAGAGTCACAGTATAAGCCACGCCGTGGTCACATAACTGGCTGTGAGCAAATGAGAGACCACCAGGCAGCGAGGGGCATCAAGGAATGAAACAGCATGGAGGGAGGAGCTGTGCACCTGTTCACACCAAGCAGGTGCCTCACATCTCGAGGACAGGCCTGGAGAGTCCATGAGGCTCAGCTTGTCAGAAAAGCCAGGCCAAGTTCACACAGACCTAGAGGGTGAGACGCAGGAGTCCGCTGACTACAACCCCCTCCTCAGAGGCACAGGCCCACAGGAGGACCAGGAGGTTCAGAGGCAGGGAGAAAGTGTCTTCCAGACACTTTTATAAGGGTGAGGTGAAGTCCTTATGGGTTTTAATCTTAAACTAGGGTGTTTTTATCTATTTATTTATTTATTTTGTACTGTGGATTGAACCCAGGGAGGCTTTACATGCCCAGTCCTATTTACTTTTGTTTTGAGACAGGGTCACTTTAGCAAGACCCTGTCTCAAAACAAAAATAAACAGGTGTTGCTGGCTCTATCCTTGTGTTTTGAAGGTGTGCCTCTCCTGTGGATCGTCCCCATTCCACCTCCTCCAGGTCATCTAAAGCAAAGCCAGCCTCTTCCTAACCTGACTACCCCTGGAACTCGGCTGTGGGATAATGCAGCCTGCTGGTTTGGGAAAAGCCTCTTGCAATGACCAAAAGCCTAAGCCCCCTTCTACACAGTCAGCAGGGGAAAAACCCCACCCAAGAATGCAGCTTCTGGCCACTTACAGCTCTGATGGCACCTGTATCCTGGAAGTGGCAGAGGAAAGGCCGTCATAGGGGTGCAGAGAATCCCCCAGACTCCCTCTTCCCTTACTCAAGGATAAGCATTGTCTTTCTCCTCAGCACTTAATGCCAGGGTGCACCACAGGTGGGTGTGCCCAGTGGATGCTGCAGGCCCCTCTGCACACCACACCAGGAGCGCCCTGGGCCCTGCAGGCGCCTCTGCCCACAGGAGATGCACACCTTTAAGGCACAAGGGATACAACCAGCCACATAAGCTTTACATGATTCTTTCAGATTTGGTTGTCCCATCAAATCACAAAACATTTATTTCACTAGGGCCACCTCCTGCCTAGTGTCTGGTATGGCCCATGTGCAACTCCTGGAGCAGTGTCCTCCTTGGCCAGCCAAACCTCTCTTCTCACCACACATGAGAGGATGCCATCCTGGGTGCACAACTCCTGGCCTTCACACATGGTTCTCACCC